GTTTAGTTGACCTTGCAAAGAGCCATCTTCTTCTCGGATGCCAACCAATCACGGAATTGAGGGCTGGGAGCCGTGAAGAGAGGGGAGCCCGGCCACAGGGGGGAGAGTGGGTCAGTTCTTGGCGGGGCAGGGCCCACCGCCCTCGGGCTGTCCCCCCCTGCTTCCCAGTCCGCTCGGCTTCCCTGTCTATACCAACTCGCTTCCGCCTCTGAAAGCAAACCAGCAACCGCGTCAGAAGGTTTCAAGGACAAACGGCGCTTGCCGACTGTGCTGACTCCAACTCTCCAGCGAGCCTCAGGCACCTCCACCGGCTACGCCGACCGCGAGGGCCGCCGCCGCCGCCGCCTCCGCCAGGGCCACGGGGAGTGTTTCCAGGCTGGTAAGGAAGCGCGTGGGTCCCGACACACGTGTAAGACCTGGAACCCGGCCGGTGAGGAGCGCTCACGCCCCGGGACAGGGTCCTCTGAGCAGTGACAGCGGGGTCTCGGGCCGCCCTGACGCAGCCCATTGAGAATGTTCTTTTTCCTTTAAACCTCGGTCAACGGCCCCGATCCCGGGGCACATCCTTTCAGTTCATGAAGAGCCATAGGAAGCAGTACAAAACCAGCAGCTTTTCTCCAGCCAAAAAAAAGAGCCGAACCCCCAGCCAACACCCACCGGAAGCTCTGAGCGCCCAGAGAGACGGGATTTCATGTTGTCTCCTCATTAAAACCCTGTGATAACAAGGCTGACTCAGAAGCAGTTTTTTCCTCCCTTTCCTTCTGGGTCTGCATCTGCCACAGGATCCCTGTTTATCTGCTGGGTGAAGGCGAGCGAGTCACTCACCAGGGACGCAGGACCGGGAACAGTGTGGCCTGGGGATGGGGCCCAGGGACGGTGACTAAACCACAGGAACATTCTGGTGCCACTGACAGAGGAAGCTTTTTTCTCTTTTAAATGCTAGACAGAGTCCTCAACACGCCAGGCACTCTTGAGTAGAGTAATACACAGCAGGGACCAGTTTGGAATGCAATGTAGTTTTAAACACAGTGAAAGACACCTGGACAGAGTAACCGGTCAAGTTAACTGAGTGCAAGATTGACCAGCTCGCGTCAACGTTCACAGCCTCTGCAGTTTCACTCAGAGGAGATCACGTCCGACAGTTTCCCTGCGATGTGTGTATGTTAGTAGAAGCGAGAGACCTTGATGAGAACCTCAATTCTCGGCCGGCCACCGGAAGGCAGCGCGGAGCCGGGCGGTGTTAACGAAGGCTCTGCTGGCAATGCCGCCAGCTCTTGAAAGCCCCTGAGCGGAAAGGAGCTCTCCGCTTCCTCCAAAGAAGGAAAGGCTCCCTGCAGCGGACTGCAGGTGTCTCTCGGAGACAACTCCTCTGCAAGGCCAGTTGGTTTAAGTCTTTGCTGAGGGGCGGGCGAGGGGCGGGGAGGGTGGGCACAGAAGCAGCAGGCACTGCCCTGTGCAGAGGGGAGGGGGCCATTCACGGCAGCGTCCGTGTGCACACCTTCCACCCCGTGTCCTGTCGTGTCGTGGGGTGATCTGACAGGGCGGGAAGAAAGCGCAGGTTGTGGGCACATTAAGTCAAGTCCACACCGCCAGCTCTCACTCCCACCCTCTCATCTAACAGCCGGGACCAACTGGCACAAAGACTTAAAAGGCAACGCGCTCCCCTGGGGAGGTGGCGGGGACAGCCCGCGATTCACCTCCTTTCACCTCCTACAAACCTCCACCAGGTAATGCTCCTCACGAAGCACTCACGAGTTAGAGAGAAAAGCCATCTGCAAAGACGTCGGGTTTTGTGTTTCTGTCATTAAAGACAGAGCATGCGTGCACACACACACACGCAGTCCTCAATTACATTGTGTCAGAGAAGCAATAGTTTCTGTAAAAAGAAAGAAAGCTGTGTTATTAGGCATTACACATTAATACCAAAGTGATCGCTGGGGTTTTCAGTAGTTTCACTAGTCCCCAGGATTCAGTAGCTAACATCAAAGTGTCACATCCTTTGGCCTAGAGCGCAGCGGCGTGGTGGGCCTCCCAGCATCCCTGAGCCAGGTGTTGAGGGCACGGATTCGGGAAAAACCCGCTCCGGGACACCGAGGAGATCTGGCCTGTGGCCAGCCAGGCTGCTCAAGGACCACAAGAGTGAGGGGCATCCTCTTTCATTGTAACATAATATTCTTTCAGGTTCTCTTGCAGGATGGTGTCCTTCACAGCGTGAAACACGAAGCGGATGTTCTCCGTGTGTATGGCAGTGGTGAGATGCATTGCTGCGATTCCGTCTCTTCTGATTGAAATACTGGACCAGGTAGCACTGGACATCCTCCAGCCTGTGGGGATTGCCCTTGAAGTCTGGGAAGTGCTTCTTCTTCTTTCTTTTTTTAAATATAAATTTATTTATTTTATTTATTTATATTTGGCTGCATTGCGTCTTCGGTTGCTGTGCGCGGGCTTTCGCTAGTTGCAGCGAGCAGGGGCTACTCTTCGTTGCGGTGCGCGGGCTTCATCATCCCGGTGGCGTCTCTTGTTGCAGAGCACGGGCTCTAGGCGCGGGGGCTTCAGTAGTTGTGGCATGCGGGCTCAGCAGTTGTGGCTCCCGGGCTCTAGAGCGCAGGCTCACGTTGTGGCGCTCAGGCTTAGTTGCTCCACCGCATGTGGGATCTTCCTGGACCAGGGCTCGAACCCGTGTCCCTTGCATTGGCAGACGGATTCTTAACCACTGCGCCACCAGGGAGTGCTTCTTGATGCCGATGGTCTTCTCCACCAGGAGGTCCATCTTGTTGAGAGGCAGGACGATGGAGACGTTGAAGAAGAGCTTGTTGTTAACGATGGTCTCAAAGATGTTCATGGGCTCCACCAGGCGGTTGGTGCACCTGTCCTCCATGAGGACCTGGTCGTACTCACTGGATGAGACCATGAACAGGATCAAGGTGATCCCATCAAAGCACTGGAACCACTTCTGGCGCTGAGACCACTGGCCACCCACATCCACCACCCTGAAAGGGATTTTTTTTATGACAAAGTCATGCTCCATTTTGCCCTTGGTGGCCTTCCTCGCCAGCAGGATGTCCTGCTTGCTAGGGAAAGTAATTCAGCTGGCCAATCCGATCCAAGTTATCCAGGAAGTACTTCATTGATTCACCCAGCTGAAACTCCCTCCTCCGGCTGAAAGCTTCCCTGATGCCAGAATCCCTCCAGAGCGTGGTCAGAGCAGGTACATAACAGCTGAAAGGTGGCAGACTCCACGGGCAGCCCTGCTTTGTTCTCAAAGGCCATAAGGTACATCCCCTGCTTCTCATTTTCAGAATACTGCCAAGGAACACCAAGCCTGTCTCGTGCATCAACCAGAACCCTTGAGCCCTTGAGGATGTTGTTGAAGATGGTGTCGCGGAACTCCAGAAGCGCACTCTGGTCGAACTCGCGGCCGTGGATGATGCGCATCTGCTTGACGAAGGTGGACTTGCCGCTCTCGCGGGGCCCAGCAGCAGGATCCTGACGAGGCGCCGCACGGCGCGCAGCTGCAGCTCTCGGTCCAAGCCCCGCGTAGATGTACCGGTTGCGCCTGCGCTGCCGCGCCTCGCGCTCCGCATCGCCGGCGGCGTCGGCCTCGGGCGGCAGCAGGCAACGGCTGAGGGTCCGCACCGCACCGGACATGGCTGCTGAGGCCATGGACCCTGCGGCGGGCCAGGCGGCAGCCGGCTGCTCCCTCAGGCCGCGTCCGCTGCCACCGTCCCGAGGTCCCTCTGTCTGGCTCTTAAATACAGTGGTTCTGTCCCCTGGCAAACCATCAGTCTAGCTACTTTTTTTTTTTTTGGCTGCGTTGGGTCTTCGTTGCTGTGCGCGGGCTTTCTCTAGTTGCGGCGAGCGGGAGCTACTCTTCCTTGCGTTGCGCGGGCTTCTCATTGCGGTGGCTTCTCTTGTTGCGGAGCACGGGCTCTAGGCGCGTG